ACGAAGACGAAGGCTACCTCTTTGAAATGCCCTGGTAAATGCAAAAATTATGGGACTACAGGCTGAGTAACGTCGCAGAAAAACAGCAAACCAATGCCAAGGCTTATGTAAACGTCACGAAAAACGTTTGAACCAGCTGTTTTTTAACAGACTATTGCCAGAGTCTCATAGCCATCATGCCTTGTCGTTTGAAAAGGTTATCAAAGCAAAAGGTGATCATACAAAATACTACTTTACACTGCAATTAATATTCGGTTCACAATCGACCTTGGATTTTTTTAAACAGATTTCCAGTGGACACAGTCGTGTCCGAAAATTCTGAACATAAATATCTCCTTGTTTCATGTCAGTCATATGGTTAATAATTAATATTTAATAAATGTTTATCGTACTGATTACATTGGTAACCTTTCATCTGTCCTTGTTTTATGAACGAACCTATTTTACACACACACACACACTCACACACACATATATCTTACTTATTATAAAACGCAGATTGTGTGTGTGTGTGTGTGTGTGTCTGTAACGTTTATATATTGGATCGGATTTCCTACATTTTTTAGCCGATTTCAACAAAACTTCAAAGGACTACATAAAATTAACTTGTGGTGGTTGTAACGGCGCCGAAAATGGGAAAAACACAAGTGTTTTTTTTTTAACAAAATCAATTTGAAAACACGATTAAGACACATCGTGAGAATGAAAGGGGGACAACTCACATCGGGTTAAAAAAAACCCAGGTTGTTTGTTTGTGTCTGTATGTGCCTTTATATATGGGATCGGATTTCTTACATTTTTCAGCCGATAAAACAAACATCCAATTTTTTTTGGCAGGTAGTGTTTCTTATTGTCTTGCGCACTTTTTTCTTTATTTATACATTCACAATGCTTTAAAAATTCCATTTACAAGACAATTGTTTATAGTAAAATTCTAATTCTATTCAATCAGGGGACTCATCATAACGATTGAAAACAATGTTTTTCTTTGAGTTTGGGTTTGACCAATTCGTAAAAAAAAACAAAAAAAACAAACTAAGACATCCGATCTCTACTGATTGTACGAATCGAAAAATCGGATAATTCTTTATCTTTAGGGAAAGATAATTCCACGTACTTTAGGGCCGTTTTCACAATTCCCTTTGCAATTTGTTACAAGGCAGATCAATAAGGCATTGGTTCTATTTGAAATTAATTCAATATTTAAAAGAAAGTATTAAGAAATAATTTAAAAATGCCGACGTAAGAAATCTGATAGACAAAAAACAACAATATTTCGAAGATGATAATTATTAAGAAAAGAACACAGTAATTGTAATAAATTAATAAACCCAAATAAAGTTAATATTTTTTGTATTAGAAACAACGAGTGGAAAATATATTCAAATCAGAATTATAATTATGAATCACCACAAGCAAAATATGCAATTTTTTTTACTGTATTCAATAAGCAAAAATCATAAATTGTAAAAGATTACAGAGAAAGGCTACCTACATTTTTCAACCGATTTCAACAAAACTTTAAAAAATTTTTACATTCAGAATGCTTTAAAAATTCCATTGACAAGACAATTGTTTATAATAAAATTCTATTCAATCAATAGAGACTCATAACGATTGAAAACAAAAAAAAACTAATTAAGACATGCGTGTACGTCAACCTTAAACAATAATCTTTGTCAATTTTATTTTTCAGTCTTTATGATGGTCGATACTTGATCTATCTCTTACTGTTACATCCACGGGCAACGCCGGGCTCTACTGCTAGTTTTTATATATATATATATATATATATATATATATATATATATATATATATATATAATTGTAAAGGAGTGATTGGTCAGAGTTGAATTAGATCAGGAAAGATTTGTATTAAAAAGTATTCAATAGACTTCTAAAGAAGATTTAAATTTAACTAGCAGAACTTTTAAATATATATATATATATATATATATATATATATATATATATATATATATATATATATATATATTATTTAACTGATTTAAAATATGTTTTTTTTCGCTATACAGGAATTACCATGTTTCAAAAACCGAAGGTAAAAACTCCGAATTTATTTATACAATTAAATTAAAAGCATTAGTGCTTTTTCATTTCAAGCGAATTTTGGACGACGATTCCCCCACCAACTTCTATAATAACACTAATACACGCAATCTATATAAATCAAAATTTTTTAAAAAATTAATCAGTTTGTCTGACGATCGAAAAAGCGTGAAACACAGGGTCACAAACTCACATCAATCCAACCACACACACACACACACATATATATATATATATATATATATATATATATATGAAAGGCAGGATATGTGTGTGTGTGTGTGTGTGTGTAACGAATGCACGGCCGCAATTTTCGACGGATTTGCACATGCTGCAAGTTAGCGGGAAGGCCAAGACCGACTTTGCATTTCCCAACTCCCATCCATAGTGGAAATAATCAATTTTTTCATGCTTCTACGGTAGTTTTCATGTAGTTTGCGGCCATTTTCTACTGGCCAGAGTGAGAGCCTATAGCTGGCTGCCACGAATAGGCAGGAAGATTCTATTGGACAGCGTGAGAGCCAACAGCTGACTGACACGAATGTTATCTATCATGCTAGCATGCAAAAAAAAATCGATAGCTGCATTCGTCACAAGTGGGAAAAATTTAAATCTGCATGGCACTTTACTCCAATTGGCTCATTCGCTTGCTTAAACTCAAACGTTGATTCTGATTCCGCAGAACTGGGTTGAGTGTGAAAAAGTATTGAACATTCTTTTTTCATTCGGTTTTTCTAGTTACAAGTCCTTTTTTAAAGCTGATCGTTTTGTGCTCATTTTGTTTAGTTCTTTTTCGTAACAGATTTAATGTTTAGTATAGAGCTTAGAAAAAAATCGCAGTGTGAGATAGGCAAGAAGTAAGGCATGTAGCAACATCAGCACGGCAAAGGGCACTCCTTTAAAGGCAAGGAAGGGCAAAATATTTTAAGTGATAGCGATTGCTGTATGAGTCGTACGATTTTTGAATCAAGCTAATGGGCAATTTTGAGCCATTCTGCTAGTATATATATATATATATATATATATATATATATATATATATATGTGTGTGTGTGTGTGTGTGTGTTGTGTGTTTGTTTGTGTGTGTGTGTGTTTATAATTGTAAAGGAGTGATTGGTCAGAGTTGAATTAGACCAGAAAAGATTTGTATCAAAAAGTATTGAATAGACTTATAAAAAAAATGAAAATTTAACTCGCAGAACATTTAAAGTTATATATATATATATATATATATATATATATATATATATATATAAACTGATTCAAAATATGTTTTTTCACTACACAGGAATTACCATGTTTCAAAAACCGAAGCTAAAACTTCAAATATATATATATATATATATATATATATAAGTGAACATTGAAATCAGCATTTAGAGGCGACAGGCTGTTTCATGCTAGACGAAATCTTCAGGCCACTAGTGTTGTTTTTCTCTATTTATATATAAGGGTCAGTGGTGCATTATATAAAAAAAAAAAAAAAAAGAATCAATTAAAACAAGCAAAATAATTTAACCTAAATAAATTATATATAAATAAATAAACGACTCGGCAAAATGACCGCCAAAATACACTACCAACAATGCACCACTGACCCGTATATATATATATATATATATATATATATATATATATATATATATATATATATACCTGATGATTGCGTCTAGCATGAAACAGCCTGTTGCCTCTAAGTGTTGACTTCAATGTTGATTTTTATATTTATACACGCTATATCTCTGATACCCGATAAACATAGCAAACCTTAAGAGTATATTTCTTCATATATATATATATATATATATATATATATATATAATATATATGTAGATTATGATCGAGAATTTGCACGCCCAGTTTCGCACAAAATTCCTTGGTGTAGATATGAATTCCTCTATTATGGTTATTATTGAAAAGCAGAGGAAAGGGTTTTCGTCTGCCTTAATTGGCAACCAGTCCAGGAGAAGGAAACTCTCACTTCAATTCTGATGAGGACTCTTTGTACACTGTGTACGTTTTCAATAGAAGGAGAGAGGTTCGATAATCAGCCGGTTCACTCTCCGAGCCGGTCTTTTGAACTGGAGTAGATCGATATAGATGTTTAAGATTGGGTTTCCACTTCTCATTCTCTTTCACTTTCAGTAGTCCCTTGTTTTTTTCGTAATATTATCGCCTTGCTTTATGTGAATTGATTTTTTTTAAATAGAAAAATAAACTGATGTTAATATATTTATTGTATTGAAATAAGTACTCTCCTTTTATTTTTATGATCTTCACATATCATTGTTTCAGATTTATTCGTTTTCAGTTAAAAGAATATGTTGGTGGGGCGCTTTCAACGTTTGGCTATAACTGTAACATCGTACATAAAGCATACTTTACGTTGTTCAAACCTTATTATGATTGCTTTTAATTATTGAGATTAGGCAAAGTATATAACAGGAACAGTACTGCGACTCAATTTTTCTAACTGAATCGTATCTGCCAAGTCATCATTAAATCTAATAAGAAAAGGAACAGAATATATTCAATAAAATATATCTCACTTTTAAATTATTCATGAAAACACACTAAGAAGACAAGCAACTTAATTAGCATGCGGTAATTAACCGTCGACAAATGAACGAGATGTAGAGATAGCAGAGGATTGTCGCCTGCGAATTGTAAAGGAAAAACAATATTAACAAATAAAAGCTATGGCGGCGTTGAAATTTATTGCCAATGTATAGAACCGATACTTTGATTTAATGCTTGTCACGTGGTTACAGGGTTTCCGCCCACCCACCACTTGACGAGACTGCATCCGAAAATGTTATCAGCCATTTGGAAGGCGACTTTGCCTTTCTAATAAAATTAGATGTTTTGTCTTTCATAAGTTACTCGCAAATGATATTTAGCTGTTTTGCATATTAGTGTTCGCCATGAAAATGAATTCCTTTATTGTGTATGAGATTTGTTCGGTAATTATCATCGGTAAACATTCGAGATTTGCTTCTTAAGAGTCATCTGTCTATCTATCTATCTATCTATCTATCTATGTTTGTTCATATTTATTTATTTATTTCAGTATTTTTATCATCTATTCCAGTCTGTTCATATCTATCTATCTATCTATCTATCTATCTATCTATCTATCTATGTCTGTCCATATCTATCTATTTATTTATGTAATTATTTTCATCATAAATTTCAATCTGTTTATATCTATCTATCTATCTATCTATCTATCTATCTATCTATCTATCTATGTTTGTTCATATCTATCTATCTATCTATCTATCTATCTATCTATCTATCTATCTATCTATCTCAGTCTGTTCATATCTATCTATCTATCTATCTATCTATCTATCTATCTATGTCTGTCCATATCTATCTATTTATTTATGTAATTATTTTCATCATCAATTTCAGTCTGTTTATATCTATCTATCTATCTATCTATCTATCTATCTATCTATCTCTATATATATCTCTCTCTCTATATATATATATATATATATATATATATATATATCCATCTCAGTATTTTCATCACAGACTTTATGTGTGTTATCTGTCGATGACATCAGGCTCATATCTATGTATTTAGCTCAATGCGATCTTATCTCGCACCTATGCAATTCAGAAAGATATTTAGTGTATGTGTGTGCGTGTGTGTCTCTGTGTGTGTATATCGGGTGTAACAGCAAAATTGTCCAAATCTTGTGACAGTATAATTGTCCATCTAACAAAACGTTCAATATCTAAAAAAAAAAATAACAACAAAAAACAAAAAAATAAAATAATATTAAAACTAAATAAAATAATTGAGTTTCTTTTTTCCAGGATATTAGACAAGACATTTACCCATCTTGACCCCATTTATCGTAAGAATCACTGAAAAACCCTTTCAGCTAGAAAGAGGACAGATGAAAATAGTTTTGTGCCAGCCCCACTGTCTACCCAACTGAGCAATGGTGAGATGAAAAAGATTCATAGTCTGGCTTTCATCTTCAAAGTTCATTCAAGAACCATCCAGAGAACGTCGAATAAGTTTAAAAAAAGATACATATAAACAGTTTAAAAAAAACAGTAGAGATGAAAACTGCATCAGGAGGTCAAAACTGGAAGAGGGGTCACCAATTCAACTTCGAGCTAAGGAGATCAATTAGAAAAGATCTAACGCAATCCATAAGATGTTTGGCGTGTGGGAGAGGAGTTTCAGCTATGACAGTCCAAGTGAATCATGCGAGGCACCTTGTTACTCCAGGACAGAAAGTTAAAAGGTTAGAGAGGGTGAAGATCGTCTTGAATAAGTTGGAAAATGACTCTGAAAGAATATATATATATATATATATATATATATATATATATATATATATATATATGAAATTTATTTCAATCTTTCATGAGCTTCGATCCTTATCTATGATTAATTAATGATGAACATATCATTTTCGTTTATGATCGATTTCATCACGATACTTCGGTTGAGCTTGGAGAGTAATTATACATTCTTATTTTTCAACGTATGCCAAATATTGTTATAAAAGCCTCGGAAAATTCCAGTAACACATCTTTAATCATTTTAGATACAAGCTTAATGGAAAAATTGTACAATTTTGCTGTTACATAAATTGGGCAATTTTGCTTTTACACCCAGTATGTATAGATATTACAGTAAAGTTCATTCTGTACAAGGCCCGGAGCCACTCAAGTTAGAGGGTTACGACAAGGGTAGTGTATACGGATAGGATGGGAAGATAACGGTTATCTTTAGCCTTGAACAGGTTAAGAATTTACTGATCGAAGAAACAATCGCTTGAAACTCTGTTCTGCAAAGCAATGGTTCGCGCGAATATGCGAGAGTGAAAACGAGAAGTATTAAGTATGGGAAGCCGTTGTTATAAACCAATGGCTTCTGTTATCAATTATAGGCATTTAAGAATATTTGTGGAGATTTCGTAGTTTATTTTGTTCAGATTAGGTTTCAACTGTTTTATGTATATAGCTTCAAGAATGTTTAGTTTTTGTTTATTGTTTTCCTGTTTAAGTATAGTTGTATTTTCAACAAGGATTTTCCGGAATTGTTCCGCGTCTCGTATATACTAGTTTTTCATGCAACAAAAGCACACTAACTGTTGAGATGTTGTGAGTGTTCCCGCGTGTGTGTATTCAAATAAAGACAAACACAGATGTAGGGGAAAATACTGGTATATTTGAAGAGGTATTTAACAACAGGGTGATTAGTAATAACAAACGCAGGTTAGTAATAACAATTAGCAAGAGTCTACAGTCTTCCGGTCGAGAGACGGAAGTGCAATGGTCACCTGATCTCGTGATCTCCCCTGATCTCTCTAGCACTGTCCTATATCGTAGAGAGATCAGTCCATTCTCAGTCAGAAGGTAGGTGGCTCCAACACTAAAATTACTGTTTCGTCCGTGTATCGTTTGATATATATATATATATATATATATATATATATATATATATATATATAAAGAAATAATCACATAGAATCAATCAGAAATATTAATGCAATTATTAGCGACATCCATCGCTAGTAGTATAATGTATGCATTAAAATACTGTTAATCGATAGAGTGAAGTGATCCTCGTCTATAAAATTGATGTCTGTTGTTTCCAGTTTATGTGTTCTTAAAATGCTAGTACTTACGAATAGTCTTCTATTCATCATCAGGCATGTGTTTTTTTCCTTATAAAATCAAAAACTTGAAGACGAAATAATTGATCCGCAGTACATGAAAATTCCTATAAAAAAAACTACTACTAAGACATTACACTATATTATTGAACTATATGCTTAGTTCATGACATATTCATTGAATACACTTGTAAAAATAGAATACGTGGATTTAACACATCACAAGAAATATTTAAATAAAATTCTCACTTAAAATTTTGAAAAACTTAGCGTTGCGTCGTTGCACGTTCTGAGATCTTACACAATCGTCAATAATAGCAGATATTCAAAAAACATCTTTCGGTCGACAAACAACTGGAAACAGCAGACATCAATTTTATAGACGAGGATCACTTCACTCTATGGATTAACAGTATTTTAATGCATACATTATACTACTAGCGATGGATGTCAGCAATAATCGCATTATATTTCTGATTGATTCTATGTGTGATTAACTAATGTATATAAAATAACAAAGAAAAAATTATATCGTGTGTCGTGTTTATTTAGGACACATCATTTGTGTCCAAACGTGGGAAATCAAATTTAAAATTTAGATTCTTGTTTCTAATTGTTTCCCTCACTTTTCTTATTAGGTATCCCACATTGATAACAAAATTTGGTGAAAATATCTTAATTTACGACAGATGGGTTTGCGTCAAGGCACTCTGTAGACATTTTCGTTTTAAATTATTTTTATAATAAAAAACTCAGGCCAAAATAGCGTTCAAACAATGTCATTTTTGAATCTGTCAACATTACACACACACACATACACATATACATACATACATATACATATATATATATATATATATATATATATATATATATATATATATATATATAACAATGTCATGTATAGAAGAAATATAGCAGACAGGTATGTAAATATAATACTTGTTTTTCACATTTTGTATTATTTATAGTTTTTTGATGTTTTATTACGATAATTTAAATAACCCAAATAATCAACAAAATTTTAGAATAGACTGCATCAGGCCGAAATATAGGCTGAATTGCGTAGACGGTATTAATGTACCTATATATATATATATATAGTCTGTATTTGATGGATGTCATACCAGTAACTCGTCAATCTTATAATTTATTATTACTATAATTTTTGATGGGGACCCAGTTTTTATTTAAAATTCGATTATTTCTTGAGACTCTGTTTTGCAAAGCGTAAATATATATATATATATATATATATATATATATATATATATATATATATATATATATATATATATATATACAATAAAATAGACCTCGCCTTCGACCAAAATACTGATAATGCCACCGGCTCTTCCATTTATAAATATATATATATATATATATATATATATATATATATATATATATATATATATATAGTATGTATGTGTATATAAATGAAAGCATAAAATCCGGTGCTTATAGGGTAAGTTACATATTAAAACCACATTTTTAAACAATATATTTATATATATATATATATATATATATATATATATATTTTATATACATTTGGATCTTTTGTAAATTTACTTTTTGGCTATCCCCATTATGATAACAGAAGATCTGCCAGGAATGTTGAAATGTCGTAAGAGTCAAGGTGTAAATTTACTGTGGATGACCTTGCGATCATAGCACACTTTAAACATTTTCGTCTTCGTTTCTCCTTTGAACGGAGTCGTATATTTAATGTCAAAATTGTGGCCATTCTCGTTACGGTTGACAACCAATGCATTTGATGTATTGCTTTGTAAAATGTCCCCCAAACATTTGTCTGTGGCAAACATTTATATATTGTTATCTTCTCTCTATGTATTTGTCCTCTGTTAGTTGACACCAGCCCTGAAATAGCCAACATTACGGATGAAACCATATTTTGAGAGAAATGTAAGAGGATGTAAAATTTTTTACTAGGCTGCGTATTACAATAAATTCACATATATTTTATTAATTAACATACAAAAATCCAATATTTTAAAACATTTAATGATTAGTATATATATAAAATATATTTTTTGCATATCTTTTCTTTAAGGTTTTTATATATATATATATATATATATATATATATATATATATATATATATGCACATATTATATAAACACAAGGGAAATTTGAGTTTGTAAGAGTAGCAATTCCAACAATACTAAATACTGTGAAGATTTCAATATTTGCCAGCGAAACAAAATTCTAATCTTTAAAAAATTCCCCCCAAAGTGTATAAAATAACAGATATTTACATGATATAGTTTTTTATTTATATATATATATATATATATATATATATAGATATGAAATTTGAATTTAAATATATCACTATAAAATGATTCGGAGAAACACTCACTATTAAAACCGGGCGAGGAGACGTTGCTTCCTTGAGAGGGGGCAAAATTCCTTGTCTTAGGGCCCCAAAATGTCAAAGGTCCTGATTGGATAGTCCTTTAAGATTCATTAATCCGGCCTTTGCATCATCCGTTGTTTTTTTGTGAATAATTCATGAAAGGATATGCTTTTCCACTACATAGATGATGAATATGAAGAATAAAAAGATGATTCAACCATAAATACAGATAATATGGATATATACCGTAATTATGACATTTCAGCTATTACCTACGCCTATAGTCTTCACCTATGTCTACGCCCAAGTTTTCGCCTCCCTTCAAGTTCAAGAGAGGAAGCAACCGTTAGATCACC